AAGGGCCTATAGATGTTATCAATCGCTCCTGATCACTGCTAGGAACTTGTTTAACCTCAACCTAGTGCTTGGTTAATTTTTGCCAAATGAGGCTAACACGGTATTAGGATTAGCACGAAATGGTTGCTTTAGTTACATTTCTTCTCAATAGACGATAGTGCATAAGAGTTTTGTCACCACCTTTTGAATGTGATTCAGGCAAAAAAGCCTTGTGACCATTGAATTGTTTAAGCTTGAAGTATGACATATTCAGCAGAATGTATATAGAGGGATGGCTCAGTGGAAGAGCATATTGTACTTTCATGAAATGATATCTTGATTTAGATAATGCATATGGTGATGATGATGATGATGATGATGATGATGACGATGGCAGTGCTGCATCCGTGTTCAAAATAGATCAAGTTAATATTAACGATAATAAGTATATTATTTTTCTTTGTCGCAAATTGATTGGAGTTTTTTCATCCATGTATAGTCTTCGTGCACAGTTTGGTTCAGACACAATGAAGAATGCTGTGCATGGCAGCTCTTCTGTGGAGAAGGCTGAGAAGGTGATTAAAGAGTTCTTTCCAGAAGTGGAAATTTTACCTGATGGAACTGTCAAAGGTTTGAGTCTTCTATTTATTACGAGCTCTGCATGTGTTTCTATGGGATACTAAAAATGCTATCATACACCTGCATGACCACTCAACAAAGTACAGTTATTTTTTGTCCAAATTTATTCAATGTCCGTGAAATTCTTTTAAAATTCTTTAAAATTTGGTGTATGGTCGGCGAATTTTCGTACGACTGGGTCGAGAATATAAGAGCAAAGCTGTCATGGCTAAACTGCACAAAGGAATACAGTTCAGACTTAAACAGCGGTTAGTGGGGAGAAAAGTTACGACCCAGATAACGGCTGCAAAGGAGACTGAGTCCCTGTGGTGCTATCAGTTAACTTGATTTCTTCAACATCACATTGATGTTAGCATATGACGGTTATCATTACGGACTGGATGAGGAGCTCTGTTTAAAAATTACAATCACAGGACTTAACCGCATGTTATAACCATTTATTTTGTGTTTATCTGGTGACTGAAATCGCTGTTTTTCCGGTTCAGTACCTTCTGTGGAAGATGAAGCTGCACTGGAAGGAAAGCCACAGGAGGAGATAAAGGAAAATCAACAACCTGATGGTATGTTTACCCGGTGTCTGTGTAAAACCCAACCTCAGGCAGTTTATTTTGGGTTCATTGTTGAGAGTTCTAAGAATTTCATTGTTGTTTAGTTGCAATTATTATGATTATTACAATAACACTTACTAAACATATATTGGTCTGTTCGTTCCATTGTCCAGTATAGGACAAATGCATTATATATGATAACTAACTGTAAGATCGAAAACTTCAACCCGTTTGTTTCCGGCATGATTCACTTCAAACTTGCCAGTCATTGCCCAAGGTTAAAATTAATTACAAGTGAGTAGGGTAATATTATGTCTTGGAAAAATTTAAACATTCATTATGTTCTCTGCAATTGGTAGATGCATTCAGTGAACCACTGGGAATGGAAAATGGTAGCATTCCCACTGAAGCCATTAAAGCTTCATCTGAACTTGACGAGCAACACAATGCATCAAGAGCACGGCTCAACACCAAACCTGAAGGAGAACTGATGGGAGCCTGGGTTCCACTACAAAGTGATGAAAACCAGTGGCTCGAAGTGGACCTTGGAAAGGCAACGAGGCTGGTAAAGATAGCTTCACAGGGAGAAGCTGGCGAGTCGTCCCGTCATGTCAAACAGTTTAGTGTGTCCTATAGCCTCAGTGGAGAGCAATTTACAGTTTATACAGAGGAAAGCACTGAAAAAGTGAGTTATTTCTTTCTACCTTTTTGTGTTATCAATAAAAAATATAACTCTAAGCCTAGAAAGTTATGAGCAGTAATTTGCATGGTAACATCAAAGGGGAGACTCATGAGGAGCAGTTTAAGATAGCAACATCAAAAAATGTTAGATTCGCAGAGTGCTGAAGTAGCATTCTCGATTGTTGATCGAAGTCGGTGATGAAGGAAGACAATCAAGACTGCGGCAAAAATTTGCTGATAGTACGCTTCCAAGACGATCCACTTTCTCAAAGAGGTTAAAAGAACACAACATCGACAGAAGAAAAGAACGCGGGATATTGAAGCGTTATGACAATAAAAAATAGCCACAACTCCTTTTTAAGGTGGCTCAAAACAGTTTACAGCAGTTAGATTTTGATGGGTCATTATAACCACTCTTTATCACTTGATGTTACAATCATGGCATCAAAAAACTGCCCAATCATTGGTGAACACGTTGTTATAATTTTCGTGACACAATAGGTTGCTGTAGCAACAGTATGATCCGCTAAGAACACTTTTAAGCCCTGCCCAAACGGACTCGCAAGTTGAACTTGCGTAGAGAGTTGCGTTGGGTGGCTAAACGGAC